CAGGGCTCTCTCTCCTCACGCAGAGGCGGCCTCGGAGGGATCCCGGAGGGGTTTAGTCGCCGCTGGTTTGACAGGGCACGAGGGGCCGGCTGTGCCCTTCGCAGTGCTCCTGGCTTCCTCGCCCAGGGCGGCGGTGAGGTTGTGGGTTTTGGTAGCTGGATCTCTCGGGTGAGTGGAGTGAAGCCGGCTCCGGTGGTCGTGCCAAAATCTGAGCCTTGAAAATCAGGGAGGAGGAGCGGGATTGGCAGGGACCTTAACTGGGATTATATAGCCCAGCCTGTCACCTCAGCGGTGAGCGTGCAAGTTGTGGCAAGTGTGTTTTAAAATACATTTCAGGAGTGTTAGCTTCTGGGGCCAAAGTAAAGCACGGACAGAGGAGTTTTGCCCTGCCATGAAGCATGTGCTAGGAGGCCTGAGACTGTACGTCAGAGTTGCCATAACCAAGTGTTCAAAAAGTATTTTAATAACCATACTTAGACTTTCTCAGTTTTGCTGCCACACTCCTCGTTCTTCTGTGTGTGGACACACGAGTTCTTGAACTTGCTGTGTTGATGTTCCCTAAAATGCGTTCGCAGTGTTTCTCCGCATGGAAAGTTCTCGCTCTCTGGAAGTGGTCAAAAATTGATGCTTTCCTTTATGGCCCCAGGCTTTGTCTCTGGCAGTTACTTTTGGGTGGAGCTCAAATTTTCTCTTACTTTAGTGTAAGTTATTAAATGCGCTTTTACTTAGGATGTTAGATACAGGAGACAAATTGTACCCGTAAAGTGCGGGTACAAACCAGATGAAAGATGATTCTTTGTATGTGTGTAGTTTAACTGGAGGGCTTCTTTATTGCAAGGTTTTGTGGATGCAAAAGGTTCGAGGGGAAACTGATTGACTTTGTGGAAGTTCTCCCATTAGGGATGAGCCAGATAGATGCTCGCTGAGAAAAAAAATCCAGCCACCAGACAGGCTGCTGGATGTTATGAGAGCATACAGAAGTCTGTGTACTTGTGGTAGTGTTGGTCATTGGTTATCAGCATTTGGCTGCACGGGAGATGGCATAAATGGTCATTTAGGTGGGCTTGGTGTCGGTATTTCTACTTACACTGTGCGAGTTGTTCAGTGTGTATTTGTGTGTAGAGGGTTGGTTTGGGTTTTTTTGCTTTGTTTTTTAGGGGAATGCTGGATGATAGTTGTAGAATGGGTGGATTTTTTTACTAGGGAGGATACTAGAACTAAGGCTTGGCAAGGCTTGAATACAGTTACCAAACTTCAGAGCGTTTTACAAGCCCTATCCTCTCCGTGCTTATGCCTGGAGTTTTAATTCCATGTGGAGAGAGCAGTTTTGGCAACTGATTTCTGGAGTTCCTGGGCTCTGGTCCCCAGTTTGGAACTTTTGATTCCGCTGTTACTTCAAAGCTAACGTCTCATTGCTAGGGCTTCCCAGGTTTTCTTTTTCAAAGGAAAAGGCCAGAATGTTGAGGATAGTGTAAATCTCCATGAATGGAGGCACTATTCCTTGTTTTATGAAGATTTTTTGTAAGGGTGAAAGAACTTTTTTTTTTTTTTTTCTCTCTAATCTGCAAGGATTGTACATTGAAACAATACTCTGCTTCAGAAAGGCGTAGTTTTAATTCAAATAATTGGGGGAGGGGATAGTTTGAAAGTAGTTCATGATAATTGGCCTGCTTTGTCTGTAAGGTTTTTTTGGCTTACGGTACCTTCATAATTCAAAGTATTTACCTTTCGTGCTGTGCTCATAGCTTACAATGAGTAGAATAACATTGTAGTTCTAATTATACAAAGTAAATTTAAGAACAGATTTTTAAATCCTATTATTGTTGATTCTTGGTTGTCATTTTAATGTCAAATTTTAAAAAATGCTTAGGAGCAGACCTGAAAAGTGGATAGGGCACTTGAGAGGCAGCAAGGAACAAGCTCTGGTATTGGGATTTTTTTAGAAAGTTGATGAAACTATTTTTGGTACTGTTTTGGTTTGGTTTCTCGTTATAACACCTAGAAGACACAAATGTAGATAAAAGTACCCACATGAGGCACAATTTTGCATCACAGTAAACTGGTGAAAGTTTCGATGACTTGGCTTAGGTGCGCTTGGTGTTGATACAAGACCGTGAAGCTCCCTCTCTAATAAGCTGAGCTGATGCTGCTTTTCAGATTATGTTTGTTTTTCTGAGGGCCTCCTTTGCAATCCCAAAGGCCAGAAGCTTTGCTGTCACCTCATAAAAAACATACTGTGGGTACCTTGCTTGTTGAAAACTAATGCCTGTCATATTACAGAAAAGTCAATTCTCGGGTGATACTATTTTTTCTGCAGGTTATGTATGGCAGCAAGGTGTAATGAAGTATGGGAATGCATGAGTGTTCTCTAATTAGAGTTTGACAATGACGTTTTGTATTTCAGGGCAAATGACCCAGCTTTGTGAACTGATCAATAAAAGTGGAGAACTTCTAGCAAAAAATCTTTCCCATCTGGATACCGTGCTTGGTGCCCTGGATGTGCAGGAACACTCGTTAGGCGTTCTTGCTGTCTTGTAAGTGTTGCTTTCTTTTAATTAAATATCTTAGTATTAAAACTTCAGGCAACATGCTGAATTGTCAACCAAATGTTTTTATTTTGGACATAAATGTTTTCAATCCGCATTTCTTAGATTGGTGCTTAGGTTCCATCAATGATGCACATTTTATTAATAAAAATACCAAGGCAAATTTGTATTTTCAAAAGAAAAAACCTCTGGAGCTTGTAAATGCCGTTACTGTCAAATGGTAACATTGGGGGGTTGTTTTCCTTAAGGCTGTATTAATTTTTCTTTTTTATGCCTGTAAAAGTATTTTTCCATACATGTTCAGCAAAAAGGTATAAAACTAGCTTTTAAAACTTGATTGACAGGGCATTAGTGCGCTGAACTGTAAGCGTGGAGCAATGCACTTTTCTTTTCTGGCGAAGCATGGGTTCTTATCATAGTTCTTGGGCATTTGTCTCTAGACAGCATCGAGGCTCTTGCTGCTGTCTGGAGTTTAAGATAATACTTGAATTGCCTTGGTGGTGCTGAGGTAAGGTAAGGATGTTTGGCCCAGAAGTGCAAACTGTTGTTTCTAGCTGTATCTAACTGCAAGTAAAGCATCTGCAGGTTCCACTATTTTAAAGTTCTCCTTTAAAGGAAAGCATGGAATGCATTATGAAATTTACAAATGGAATTTACAAAAAGCGGGGCATCGGTACAGCATTAGCAGAAGAATCGTATCATGGGGTACATGAAAACAGCAAAACAGGTGGAGGAAGGAAGTTAACTTGTTTATAAAATGTAAAATGTGTTTTTTGAAGAGATGGTATCAGTGGAGCATATAGGAAAGCTCTTCTGGCTGAAACTGAGGCATGGCAAACTCCTATGCTGGTAGAATAAGACTCTCTCAAGAGACAGGGATGGGGTGGCAGCCCATAGCCTGGACAGCCACAAGCCTTGTGGGGAAGGACAGTTCATGATCTAGGTAAGTTTGAACTGCGTTTTACAGTATATAGCAACTGAATTACGGGCAGGGTTGGGTACCTCCCAACAGCATTAAACAGGGTTTTTTTTCCTGTATTTGTAGGATACATAGCTAGAGTTTTCATTGCCCTCAGATAAGCGTAATCATAGTGCATCTTACAGAACCAGCAACGTGTCTGCATATAGTCTGCAGCCTATAGGGTGCTAAGGAACCACCAGAGGTGAAAAGAAACTGGAAGTGAAGTGAAAGAGCTCCTATCAAGAGATACAAGTCTAATAACTTAACAGTTGAGAAATCTTGAGCACTTTCAAGCAGGAGATGGCTGCAGGATAGGAAAAAGTGTCCAGAGAAGTTGTGTGGCTGAGTATTAAAATTCATCATCGTTAGCCTGTGTTTCTATTATAATTGTAACTATTGTACCAGATAAAATTATCTTTGTTCACCATAGTTTGTTCTAAATTGTAGTTTGCACTAGATTGAGAATGGGGTTGTGCATGGAAAACATATTTTCAAGTGCTCTGCAGCTCCTGAGGAAATCATATGCCATCTGTCATAAATACTTTGGATTTGTTTGCAAGCACCTCTATGCATCTGCAGAGACTTCATGATGAAGATGAAGCTTTTTTTAATGAATCTCCAAATGTTAGGTGTTAAATCTTTTTTTTTGTTTTGCCTTGTTTTAGGTTTGTGAAGTTTTCTATGCCCAGTATCCCTGACTTCGAAACGTTATTCTCACAGGTGCAGCTTTTTATCAGCACTTGTAATGGGGAACACATTAGATATGCAACAGACACTTGTAAGTTTAAACTTACTCTCAGAATTTACATGGTTTTTTTGATAGTTTGATATTACTGATTTTTCACTCTGGGTTTTTTTGTTTGTTTTTTTACTGTATTTAGTTGCTGGCCTGTGCCACCAGTTAACAACTGCGCTTGTGGAGAGAAAACAGGTGAGCAAGCATCATCTAGTACAAATGAGCTACCTACATAACCAAGCTCTTAAAGGGAACATTTCCAGTCTCTTACTAGCTTCATAAATATTTGTCACTAACTTCATGTTAAGTATTTTTGTGCAGCTCCTTACTTGTTAAGTTTACTGAGAAATAATGAACCTAAACCAAGATTTTAAGATTTCCTTAAGGAAAATGTAAGGAAGATATTTTTTGGGGGGGAGAGTCACCTAAAAATGTGCTCTCACACACAAACTAGGAAATCTGTAGTAGCAAGAATGTTCTTCAGATAATGTGCGCATAAGTGGGAGAGAGCTGCAAAAAATACTAGTGCTGGTGGGTCAGTGATACGAGTTTCAGTGTTATTCTCACCAGTGTTATATAATGTTTGTAATGAAGTCTCTTAAAATGTAAAGGAAACTTGATTAAGAAATATTTGACCAATGTTTTTGTTGTTTAGATACTGGCTTTTTTCAGGCCATTTTAGTGAAATCTAGCCTGAAATAGAAGTCAAGATCAAGTCTGGTCTAAGTGGAATAGAGCAAAAGCCTCGCCTTTTGTTATTTGTTGAGAGTTTAGATGGTGTCCAAAGTTTTTGTTATTGATACAAATTACTGTATTCTGGATGAGGTTGGCTTTGTGGAGCAGAATTTATTTAGTTTATCAGGAGAAGTTGTATAGCCAAGGTTGATTTTATTTTCTGAGAGACTGCAGTATCCTGCAAAAAGGGAACCTCAAGTTAACTATTACTTAATGGATCCTGTCAATTAGTGTTATTTTTCATTTGTAAGTGTCAACATAAGATCCAATGTGCTGCCATCTATGAGAAATTATCTGAAAGAGATGTAATTTCTGACAGCCCCTGCGAGGAATTAGCATTCTCAGACAAGCCATAGACAAGATGCAGATGAACACAAACCAGCTGACCTCAATACACGCAGATCTCTGCCAGGTAAGGAGTGCATAAGGGCTCTTTGAGAGTAAAAGCTTCTAAAATACCTATAATCCTTTGAGGAAATGCATGTTCACATATTGCAATGTAAAAATGGCTGATAACTTTTTTCCCAATAATAAATAATGTGATCTACTGAAATAAAATCCCCTTCTATTAATTTCAAATGTTCTGCACATGTCCCCAGATCTTTGCTTTTGTTGATGACTTCTGAAAGTCCTTTGACATCCCTTCTCTCTGGGCTGAAAGTCACACATAGCTTCTCTTAGGCAGTACAAGTGTAATATCCAGACGCTGTTTGCTCAAGTTTGACAAAAGGCATGTTTGCCTTGATGTCTTTGGCCTGGATTTGCACTTCTGTCTCTTTCTTGGCTCCTGGGATTTAGGGTTGGACAGGAATGTTTAGCGCAATATGTAGCGCTGCCAGCACAGTAGTCTGGAAGGCCTGGAGTTTCAAGCAGCTTTGTCAGAGTCTAATTTCTTTAGGATTCAGAAAACTTATAACAGTTCACAGGCAGTGTTAAGGGTTTTTCCAAATACGATTATACAATGAATAATCTGTGTTACAGCACTGTTGACATGCACTGTTGTTTTTCACTCTTGGAGGAGTGAGGTTTATTAAATAGTACTAGATGAATTTAGTTTCAACTTCTTCCTTATGGAAATTTGAATGAAAATGGCTAATTTATGAAAACTTGATTTATTTTCTTGTAGCTCTGTTTGTTAGCAAAATGCTTTAAACCTGCCCTCCCGTATCTAGATGTGGACATGATGGATATTTGTAAAGAGAATGGGGCATATGATGCGAAGCACTTTTTATGTTACTACTACTATGGTGGGATGATTTACACTGGGCTAAAGAACTTTGAAAGAGCACTCTACTTTTATGAACAGGTAACTTTAAATAAACTGGTAAGTGTAAAGTGTAATCAATTGAAAGGCAAAAGTAGGATGTGTAATAGCTCGGAGACAACATAGCACCTCTGTATTGCCACCAAAGATAGCAGTAAAAGCTACAAATCTAATATAAAGTACAAGCAGTCTCCAGTTATTTTCATTCTTAAGGACATAATTCTACTAATAGCTCTGTACTGCAGCTCATCATTCACGGATGTTTTGGTTTAGCACATGTGCTCATCATATTAATACATAAAAGCTGATTTGGGTTAGTGTTCACTATTAGCTCTTTGGTGAAAGGTACAGCCTGAATGGTACTCTTTAACGTATAAAGTGAAGTAACAAGCAAACTGTCTTTAGAGGTATTTACCTTTAAGAAGGTCCCTTACAGCCAAGTAACTATTGCACCATAAAACTATGCAACTCAAAGGTTGGTGTTAAATTTATCGCACTATAAATATTTTTCAGATTCCTGCTTATTACTGCTTGCATAGAAACAGTTCACAGGCTGACATTCAGAATTATGTATTCTTAAAGAAAAAATAGTTCAGTGGTTTTGCTAAGACCTTTGCTAATTTTATGAGGGGAGTTAGACTTATTCAAGACTATTAAAATATTTGCTGCTTTTACTTTCTCTGTGAAAAAAGACAAAATCGCAATATTGGGAAAACTTTGTGTGTGTACGAGGGGGAGATGCTGTCAAATGAGCAAAATAAACTGGTGCAGCGTTTTTCTTTTCTGTAAACAGCGGTCAGCTCTTGAGTAGCTAGTAGTATCATAGTAAACTAAAATCCCTTTTCCCTATCCTGCAGAACTCTTGCAGCATACTTAAATATGAGATCTGATGATGTAATAGCTTTGTAAAATCTCTTTAAGGATCCATGGAAATCCAGATTCTACAGGAACTGTAGAGTCATTCCTGGTAACAAGTAGCTAGAGGGGATTTCTAGTACAGCTTTAGATGTATACCAAGGAAAGAAATTTTGATTTGATCTTAACAGGGTTATTTTAAGGTCAGCATCAGTGTAACATGGTATGTTTTGAGTAGCTTGTATAGAATTTACTTTTTTAGGACATTTTTTGATAATTAATTTTGACAGAAGTTAGTTTAATGCTGAAAGCTGAATTTCATATGTCACTGTATCCTTTCTGCATGCAGCTTTAAACTGAGATTTTGGTTAATACAAAATAGCTACCAAGATCTACCAGTAAGTATACTAAATTTTATTCCATTTTTTTTCTTAGGCAATAACTACTCCAGCCATGGCAGTCAGTCATATTATGTTGGAATCATATAAAAAGTATATTCTAGTTTCTTTGATACTACTTGGCAAAGTTCAGCAGCTACCAAAATACACTTCCCAGATAGTTGGCAGATTCATTAAGGTAAGTCTTGCAAATACAGCTAAATAATAGAACGACAAATCTGAATTTGTAAACCATGTTGGAAATATTTTTTTTCCCTGCCCTTATTTGATGGTACTGCTTAACATTGCAGATCACAGGAAATAACGTGCAATGTGCCAGAGTACAACCAATCTCTTGCTGCCTTTGTAGTGTACAATAGCTAAAAATTGTCTGGCAACTTCTATGTCTGTTACAAACAAACTGTATTGTTCATATTGGTGATACAGGTTTTTAACCTTAAATTTGGGAAAACGTTAGGGTTAAATGGCACTTACCAATATTCTCTTTCCTGATGCTGCACATCCCTTTATAGCGTTTTACATTAGAAATCAAACAAGACTTGCATTGCGCTTGGCTTTCAATATACAGTGTCCTTCTTGTAAAAAAAAAAAAAAAAATTCAACCCATAATTTCATTTAGTTGAAGTTAGAAATGCTAAACAGCTTATTCCAAAACTCCTACTTTATAAGGAATAAAAGCTTCTGAAAAAGCTGCACGTTTGGAGTCCATGAGCATTCTGATTAGGAGGTAAATGGAAGACAGAACTGTTAGCAAAAGAGTTCTGATTCTAGATAAACAACATGCTTTTGAAAGTTAGTTTTTAATTAACGCTGAATCTGTTGATTTGTGACCAAAATCTTAAAGGGTTCCAAAAATCTTCTAACTTCAGATACTAATATGCAAACTCAAACAATTACTTAAATTACTTTAAAATGGCAAACTAGTCTTTATCTTCTCATTCTCTGTTGTCCGTGCTGTGATTCATTGTGGTCAAGGATGACATGTCTTAGAGGGTAGAACAAATACGATGCCTGGGCAGTGACTAGTCAATACGCTACTTAACTTGAATTCAGTTTCCTTCATATGCTGGTCAGCTAATGGACTTTTTCTTGCTCTCCCATGACTAGAACTGTCATACAGAGCTCCTTGAATGATGTTTACTAAATTTTATATTGCAGTAATACAGATTGAGTGTACAAGGATCTATCATTACTGTAAAGCCATGTGTGGGCATCGCTTATTTTTTATGAGATGCTTGAGCTACTTAAATTTACTTTTATGCCTGCATGGCTTCTCATGTTGAAATAGTGAATAGATTTTTCTGAGGCTGGTTGAACACCATGTTCTCTAAGAAGGGTTCTCATTTTTCTAATTGCAGCCCCTTAGCAATGCTTACCATGAATTAGCGCAAGTTTATTCAACCAATAAACCCTCGGAGCTTCGAAATCTGGTGAACAAACACAGTGAAACATTCACAAGGGATAACAATATGGGGCTGGTGAAGCAATGCTTGTCATCTCTCTACAAAAAGAATATTCAGAGGCTAACCAAGGTAAGATGTAGGGGTTTTGTTTTGCTGAGAAATTGTGATTAGTTTTTCTTAGAGTGAATCTCTGAAGTGTATTCAATTCAGAGCAAAGTGATACTGTAGTGACATCACAGAGAAGTGACTGAAACTGAGACTTGTGTCTCTGGAACAAATGAGACTAAAATGCTCTATATAGAAAACCAATTCAGTTGGCTACTTATGCATTATTTAGAAGGTGGTTCAATATGTCTATCAGAGGGCTTTACCCATGAGATTTTCATAGATAATCAAAAAAGTTGTGAGCACTGTTACCAAATGACCTTCATCTCTATTTGAAAAATAAGAAACCTGAACTTTACAGGTTACTTCATTAGAGAAGAGTGGGGTAGATTTTGGAAGTGTCTGAAGTAAAAGGAAAAACTGCAGCAGTGATGTGGTCCTTCAGCTGAGAGATCAGATTAACCCTTAAAGATGATCAGGGGAACGTGGTTTTTTTTTTTTTTTTGCAAGCTCAGATGATGTTTGTTGTCGTAGAATTACGTAGAATCAGAAGTAATGCAATAATACTTGAATAATAATGCTTGAATCTTGAAGGAAATTCAAGGGATTGACAGTCACCTTATTCAGGTAGAAAGATGAGGGGAGAGGTTGGATGTGGTCAGGACTGTGTCTGGAGTGAAAAGGAATTGCAGAAATGAGTAATGACTCCATTAGTTTGGTCCACATACAAGCGCAGTGTAACAAGCAGATGTCTTTGGAGGAAGAACTGACTCTCATGGTGCTTTTATAAGTAATAACTATGTGATCCACTTGTTTCTTCCCATCAGACTTCAAAATAAGATTGCATAGCCATGAAGGATTGATAGGGAAAGTTGTTAGCATCTAGTTTTAACCGTTTAATACTTTCTAAATTTCAGACTTTTTTAACATTGTCATTACAAGACATGGCAAGTCGAGTGCAGTTGTCGGGGCCCCAAGAAGCAGAAAAATACGTCCTCCACATGGTAAGACTTGTGACTTGGCTAAAATATCCTAACTTAAAAACTGATCCAATTTAAGACTCTTTTAAGTGTTTGGATTGGCAGTGCATGTTCTGAATGGCTGAAGAATGGTTCTTTTTCAGGGTGGAGAAAATACTGTCAGTCTGCTGCGGTGTTTAGACTGTTGTCAAAAAATCTTACAGATACTCACTGCCTAAGATAAGGCATGCATCATTTGTCTTTGGGAAGCTGTTAGGAAATAAAATGCAGACAAGTTAAGCATGATTCCACAAGGAGTCCATGTGCTGTAGTTACCTGAAATTCTGTTCTTAGTGATACCTTACATTAAACCCTCTCTCATTTCAGATAGAAGATGGTGAAATCTTTGCAAGTATTAATCAGAAAGATGGTATGGTCTGTTTTCATGATAATCCTGAAAAATATAACAATCCAGCTATGCTTCATAACATTGATCAGGAGGTAAATCTTTAAGATATTAACTGCTTTTGGAATTCCTACCGAAGAACCTTAGTTTGTAATCAGAGAGCTACTGGGAGAAGCCACTGTAGGTAACTTAGAGTTTGAGGACTCTAAATCAGTTTTCAACTGTTTCACAGTACTGCTATTTAAAGGCTTTAGATTGATAGTCAATTACTGTCAATGCATTCCCTGTTGTATCTTCTGTACAGCTTGATGTTTTGGTGTTGGTGATGGGAAGTTCCTGGAATTGACCGGATTAGAAAGATTATTTTTAGAGTTCTAGACTTCAGGGATCACTTCCACTGGCTGTCAATAACCTGTCTGTAAATTGAGGTGGTTGACCCACATGTGACTGTCAGTGGCCTTAAATAGGATTGTTAGGAAGACATGGATCAAAATAAGGGAATAAAAAAATGGTCTGACACTTTTGTCTGGGAGATGAGGGATGAGAACATTTTGACATGGAGCTTTTGTGATGGCAAAAGTTATTGGTGCCACGTAGCACAGCTGTGAAATCTCTTGAAGATCATGTACAGGCTGGACAAAGTAATCAACTTTATATATGTTTTTAAGATGCTGAAATGTATAGAGCTTGATGAACGACTGAAAGCCATGGATCAAGAGATCACTGTGAACCCTCAGTTTGTGCAGAAGGTAATTGATTTAGTGTCCTGTAAGAGTATGTACGAGATTCAGTGCAGTGAGTATGTGTTGCACTGAATGTCAGTATGTATGGTGTTAATAATTACATATTATTAATATGTGCATAAACATCATGCTTTAAAACAAAAAAGGAACTGCATGTTATTTCATATGCACTTTATTTTCCTGCCTGCTAACTTCAAAGAACTGTGTGTCTTAAAGGTAAACCTTCAGACCTGTTTTTGAAAAGAAATAACTCTCTCCCTTCCAGAGTATGGGCTCTCAAGAAGATGACTCAGGGACCAAACCATCCAGTTATTCCTGAAATTCATGTTGCTCACCACTCCGCTTTCAAGTAAAAGCTTATGAAAGAATCACGCCTGGAATAGGGCATTGAGGAGTTCTACAAAGAGAGCAGAGAGAACTGAGCTTTGCTTTTCACCTGGACATTAAGAAAATAAAAGAACACCCTCTCAGTACTGTATAATATCAGAAATATTCTCTGCAAAGAAAAAGGAAATCTCAAAAGAAACTTAAAAGTCTGTTGTGGATTTATTTATCTTCAGATTAACATCGTTAATGCATTAAATAATCTACCTTTTGTTTTAAAGGGTTTGAATGTTGCCGTGTTTCTGTAGCAGTCCTTTCTCTTCTGAAAAAAAAAAAGTGTTATTCAGGGAGGAATACAAACTAGTGTTGGTTCACTTACAAGATAATTACTGGTTCATTATTCTGTATTTAAAGTTGGCTCAAAGTGCAGATTTATCACATGTGTGGTGGGGGAAAGAGATGGAGTTTAAATAAATTCTCTATATTATAATTTGCATATGGCCAGTGTAGCTGGCTGCTGTCTATTAAATGAAATAAGAACTGTGTTCTTCCCAAAAGGATGAGCATATTAATGAGTCCTTTTAAGGCAGTTTTGCTGAGAAGCAGAAATCACTGTAGGGAATCCATGCATGACAGCTATTTATGGTTTTGAGTTTCTGGTACAAAATATCTCCTAGTGACATTTGCTCTTAGATCAAACTTAGTAGACCTAAAGAAAAGGATGTTTGGAACACCTCGGTGCCCTGGAGGATTCTAGATAGGAAGTTGTTCACACTGAAAAAAAATAATTTTTTGTTCCTATACAATTGGCACAAAGGTATTTGACAGGCTAACTCTTTTCTGTGGTGAAAATAAGTGAGGGCCATGCTATAGATCTTTGTTTCCAAAGAAAATAATTTTCCATAGAACATAGAATTCTATACAGCTCTCAAAATGTAGGATTTTATTTGGAGATAACATGCTGGAATGCTCTCTGGTTTTTAATTCGTCATTTTAAATGTAAAAACTTTGTTGTTGGATTCTTAAGTGCTTCACCCCTTAAATCAGTGGGCTCTTTAATTTTCTGTAGCTCTCATGTATCTGAAGATTCTCACTGTTAAAACACCTCTGAAACATTTCATGTCAGTGCAAATCTACTATTGGGCATCAATAAACTTGTCATCGAGTCAGAACGTGAGAAGCTCAGCATCCAGTGCTTCCTACTTAAATGCCTGACTAGGAGCTGCTTGCTACTGCTAACCTGCCAGCTTTTTTTCAGGACCCTAAGTGGGAGCTAAGCGTTTCTGGCTCTTGCCGTGTGAAGCTCGTATGCACTGAGGTCACCCATGGTTGAAAATACTCCATTTGCGCTTCTGCTACAGAATTGTTGGGGTTTTCACTTAAAATTGGTGTCTTAATTCTAGCAGAGCCTCTGTGACAGAGGTATGCTTTCTAGTAGAAGAGATGTGTCCCCAGGTTGTTCTCTAGGTGTTGAATGATGTTTTTTAAAGTACAAAATAGCAGTTTAGCGTTGAACACAGCATAGGTCCATAGTTGTAGTAGCTCACCACTGAGTACTTGTGCTTCCTATCACAGACTTCCATATTTGAAGGCAACTTTTACACCTGATCTTAAAGCAAAATCTTACTTTTTTTTTTCATAACTTGCCTTACCAGTCTTGTAATTAAAGATATTTATGATTTTTGAAGTATTTTTCCTAGTTAATCCTGCAGTTATTTCAATGCTGAAGATGCTTATACGATTTTCTTCTCCAGTACTGTGGAAGTACTAAATTAGCAGATGAGTAATGCTGTGGGCTCACGCACAACGCTGGGTTGTCAAAGTGTTTACAGCCGTGTGTGGTAGTCATAGAAAGGTCTGCAAATCACTAACTCCAAACTGCCACCTATACAAAATGTGGATGGCTCGCCTTTCGTTGCCAAGGGCTCACTTGCGGGGGCAGAATGTATGCAGGATGCTTTCCTGAAGGTGGAGAAGAACCAGAAACGTCCACTTGGCTGTGGCTGAGCTTTCATACCACTAGTTCCTGGTAGTGAGTGTGGGCTTAGGGCTTTCTAGCTGTGGAATTACAAGCAAACTAATATATGCAGCTGGCAAATAGCTACATTTTCTTTTCTTTTTTTGCCTAAAGTAGATAAAATAAATCCATACTACGCATCAAAAGGATGGTAGAAATAGCTATGTAATAGTTTCAAATGATATATTATACTATTTTTCTTAATCTGATTTTTAAGAGGGCAAATGCTTTTGAAGAACTGCTAGAGTTCCTTTTCTGATGTGCGTAGTCGTGCTGTTAAGCTCCAATTGCTGTTGAAAATGCAAAGTCAGGTCCCACCTGTAGAATCAGTAGAGATAAAGCATTCACTGAAAGTGCTTCGGGGAAGGGCTTTTAAGTAATAGTTTGATAAACACATATGGTCTGGCATCTGCATGTCTTGAGATACTGTTGAAATTAAGTCAGACTTTTAATGAAGTTCCTCTTTCAAGTCTTGGAACTAATTGCATGGGCTGTGGTCAGCTGAGACGCTTTGAGAACACTTGAGCTTTCTGGTTTTAATTTGTATTTATTGCAGGGAAGGACTTTTGATCAAATAAAAGAACACTGCGTGCTATGCTCCTCCAGATTAAGACTCTCAGAGGTCCTGTGGCTAGTTCTTCCTGCTGTGCATGGCCTCAAGATGTGTTCACAAAATAGTGAGTGCATGCTTTAATAACTTACAGTTTCATGCATCTTTTAATAAACAAAGATCCAAAATGCAGGTCTGAAGGTAGCATTAGACTTGCAACTACACTTCTTAGCCACAGGAGGGGTCTCCAGTTATGCTTAGCAGGTAATAAAACATTTCTAAAAAGCAATGGTTAGAAGCTGTGTAAAACCACCCCTCCTCTTGTGCCACTCAGGAGCCCCAGTTAGTGACCTCTGCTAACACACACGCCTGTAGCTGCCATTGCGCCCCATGCTTTTGCTGAACTCCAGCTGCCTCCACCTATACAACTTCCCTTCTCTATTCTCCAGTACAACCACGACCTGTTGTATGTGTTGTCATAGGTGACCTGTATAACCTAGGAAATGTTTTCTGCATGGCTAAACTGGCTGAGGAGGTTAGTCCTGAGAAGTTGTTTAAGTGTACTATTGGAAAATAAAGATAACAAATGAGTCGTTCTTAGTTTGTCTTAAATGAGATAGTAGGTCTTTTGTATTTGGCTTTTCTGTGGTTTTTTTGGGGGGTGTCTTGTCACTTCTGGCTGACTGGCGGGAAGCTGCTAGTTGTCTGCTGTGTGCAGCAGCACCCTCTGCTCAGGAGTTGTTCAAGCTCTGCTGGTGGCTTCTTGGAGCTCTCTTGAACCCTCTCAAGTAGAAATAGTAGGGGTTTGTGCAGTCTTACCTTCCTTGGGAAGTGCTGCTACTGGCCCTTGTCTGAGGTGGGCTCCAGGATTATATGGATTTTGGATCAAACACTTCTATTCGTATCTGACCTTTGTGTTACACTAATCATCCGTCTCACTGACTGACTGTCGTGTTCTTCAGAGGCATAATTAATTAGTCCATGCAGGGCTGCTTGGATCCAGAGGCATATATTGTAGTGGTATTGGTGACAGCTGCTCTTTCTTGAGATTTATGTATAAGTTTTACTCAGGTGCCTGGTCTACGCTGTTATCTTGTGGAAGACTTACTACTTTTGTTCAGATTTGAGTATTTAAAACTCTGTAGGGGTCAACCCTGATGTAAAGGGAAGGGGTGTCCAGTACTGAAGCCTAGGGAGATTAATAGTTCACATGGAATTTGGTTTATCTTTCCATCATAGTTTTCTAGAGATAAATAATCCTTTAATAACGCTTGATCACCTAAAGAGAAACTGGAGAAGTTTAACGGAGAGCGTGTCTGTACTGCGGAGCCGAGAACAGGCTTAACAAGTGTCAGTGCCCTTCTTTCGGAGTTCTGACCTGGGCTTTACCTGTGGAAACATCTTGATACAACTGCTTTATAAAGGGGGTGGGAAAAGACAATACTTGATGGAAGCCTTCGCCTGCCCTGATCTGATGTTCCGAGTAGTTTAAGGAGTTAGGACAGGAGCTGGGTACGGCCAGCGCTCCCATTGAGCGTCTTTATGGGAGGAGTCGGGCCCAGCCTGCGGTG